AGAAGAGAAGAGAAGAGAAGAGAAGAGAAGAGAAGAGAAGAGAAGAGTTGGAAGGTACCTTGGAGGTCTTCTAGTCCAACCCCCTGCTTAGGCAGGAAACCCTATACCAGGGGTGGGCAACTATGGCCCTTTTATGAATTATGGACTTCAACTCCCAGAATTCCTGAGCAAGCCATGCTAGCTCAGGAATTTTGGAGTTGAAGTCCACAAGTCATAAAGGGGACATAGTTGCCCACCTCTGCCCTATACCATTTCAGACAAATGATTATCCACTCTTCTTAAAAACTTCCATCATTTACAACTTCTGGAGGTGAGGTGTTCCACTGATTGATTGTCCTGACTGTTAGGAAGTTTCTCCTTAATTCCAGGTTGCGTCTCTCTTTGATTCGTTTCCACCCATCGCTTCTTGTCCTGCCTTCAAGGGCTTTGGAGAATAATTTGACCCTCTCTTCTTTGTGGTAGCCCCCGAGATATCGGAACCCGGCTATCATGTCACCCCTAGTCCTTCTTTTCATTATTAGGGGACTGGAGGCTAAAGCCTACCATGAACCCTCGTGGAAACTGGGTGTGTCCAAGGAAAAGGTTTAGGGGTGATACAATGGCTACCTTTGGATTTTTGAGGGCCCGTTCACAGAGAAAAGAGGGTTGACTTATTCTCCAAAACACATGAGGCTAGGACCAGAAGAAATGGTGGAAGATGATTAGCTCAAACTGCAGAAATGCCAGGTTGTTCTCATTGGGGTGTTTCTACTCCAGTGGTACCTGCTTTCCCACCTACACCTGTCCCAACATGCCAACAGGCAGCGGTAGGTGGCATGGCACCCAAACCAGTCTCTGACTCGCTCTGCCTGCCAACTTTAGGGGCTCAATTAATGCCAGTGGAAGTGGTAATTAGACAGGGATTGATGGGGGAACACAGCAAGGTGTTAGATACTCATTAGTTAGGTACTACCCCAGTTATTACACACCGCAGTCAACGTAAGATGAGCCAGCCTCTAAGGACGGACTCTGTATTGCTCCAACCTCAGAGGAAAATCAATCTAACTATTCGGTTGAGGAAGGAGAAATAAAGGAACTGTTGGAGGAGGAAACTGAACCCCTTAATCTGGGTTCAAAGGGCTCTTGCGACCCCATTTATTCAAGCCATTGTTAGCCAAAGCCAAGAGCGCAACTGGACTAGATCTTAACACGGAGGTTCCAATCTAGAACTAAGGAGAAATTTCACGATAGTGAGAACAATCAACCGGAGGAAGAGCATTCCTTCAAAATTTGTGGGTGTTCCATCACTGGAGGTTTTTGAGAAGAGATTGAACAACCATTTGTCCAGAGTGGTATAGGATCTCCTGCTTAAGCAGAGGGTTGAGCTAGAAGACCTCCAAGGACCCTCCAAGTTGTTACGAAAGAACATCTCTGTTATTCTATAAGTATTTAATTCTAGGATCATTTCGTAGGGCACAAACTTGCCCGGAAATTAAAATCTTCTTCAGACTTTCCTCTCCGAATTTCTATAGTATCTCTCAGCTGTATAATATTATCTGTGGTGCTATATTAGCAAACCAAAATGGTATTTATTGCATTGGAAGACATGATTTGTAAAAAAAAAAAAAAAAAAAAAAAACCACACCATCCCCCACAATATTTAATGGTTTAATGTAATTTAAACCGCGGTTTGAATTGTGTGAGGACAAAATGCAATGAAACATCTTCACCTGAATGTCTGGGGTACTGGGTTGCACAAAGCCTCCGGGGTTGTAGGTGTAAATCATAAAATCATTGGGCAGAAAAGACCTGTGGTGAAACCAATGAAACAAAAGTCAAACTGGAATCGAAGAGATGGATAAAGGCAAAGGCTCCCCTCGCACATACGTGCTAGTCATTTCTGGCTCTAGGGGCGCTGCTCATCTCCGTTACAAAGCCAAAGAGCCAGCGCTGCTCAAAGACGTCTCCGTGGTCATGTGGCCGGCATGACTAAATGCTGACGGTGCATGGAGCACTGTTACTTCCCACCAAAATGGTTCCTATTTTTCTACTTGCATTGTTTACATGCTTTCGAACTGCTCGGTTGGCAGAAGCTGGGACAAGGAACGGGAGCACGCTCCGTTCTGCGGCGCTAGGGATTCGAACCACTGAACTGCCGACCTTTTCTGATCGACAAGCTCACTGTTTTAAGCCACTGAGCCACCGCATCCCGGAGTATGTCCCTCAAATGTCTTGAGTAGCAGAATCAGAAGAGAGTTTTCGTGCCAGGGAAACAAGGCTGCTACCCAAAGATTATTAGGTTATGGAACCCTGATTATCACTCATTTTAGGTTATTCGATTAAAAAGTTCAATTGAATTCCTTGTTTATAAATGAATTGTGCTTCTCTGATCGACAAGTTCAGCATCTTAGCCACTGGGCCACTGGGTCACCAAAAAGAGATGGATAAGTAGAGGTAATCCTCTGCTTACGACCATAATTAATTGGGAATTTTGTTTATAGCATAACCCCACTCTTCTAATCACAGCTACCTCCTGTAGACCACCCTATTCTAATTACCCATCTATTCAATGTTTCCTAATATGGCTAATTAGTTACTTAGGCCAGTGGTCACCAACCAGTGGGCCAGGGACTACTGGTGGTCCATGAGAAAATTTGGATGGTCCGCAGAGAAATGTCACCCCCAAAGCAATTAATCCAGTCTGCGTGGGAACACAAGGCTGTGCCCTCCACATGGCCGAGGGGAACACAAGGCTTGCATCACATGCATTGCAAACAACATCCGGTAGTGAGGGGAGGGGGGAAAGGGCAGAGGGGGGGAACTTGCCCCACTTGCGCCAAACACCTCGCCTGGCCACTGGGCTGCTTCTTTCCACTTCTTTCTTCTTCTGCTTTTGGCTGCACACAAGGAAAGCAGCAAAAGTCTTTCTTTCTTTCCCCCAAACTTCACCAGAAATGAGTCTTTGGGACCCTGCAAGGCCTCCTGCTCCAAGAGGCTGCGCCGTGCGACGAGTCTCACAAAGACTCATTTCTGGTGGAGTTTGGGGGAGAGAAAGAAAGACTTCTGCAGCTCCTGCTGCTTTCCTTGCATGAAGCCAAAAGTCTCTCTTTCTCTCTCCCCCTGAGAATAGAGCTGGAGACGGTATCCTGCGATCCCAAATAAAGAACGATCGATCGGTAGGAAAACGAGATGGGGAATTTTCGTGCAGACTTTTTTTTGGGATTCTCCCAGGGTCTCTGGTCCATGGGATATAAAATTATGAGTTTGGTGGTCCCTGAGGTCCAAAAGATTGGCGACCGCTGACTTAGGCTATACTCCCACACCTTAGCCTAGAACGCTCTGCACCCTCCCTATCACCGATCCCCTCTACTTCCCTGACACCCAATGTATAAACCCCTCTCCCCTCACTAAAGTGTCACTAAATCGGAGCGCTGCAGCCACGTCATGTGGGAATTCCCATTCAGCTTCCCACTCCCATGTAGCAGTGCGAGGCAGCGTCATAGCGAATCCATCGCTGGTGGGACGGATCCATGATTAACATCTTTTATTACTGGGAGGCATAGTTTGATTATAGAGCCCAATATTTTGTGGCTAAGCAAAGTGGGTGTTAAATGACTTATGCCGGATTTTACCACCATTTTTGCCAATGTTGTTAAGCCAATCCACGTAGTCGTTAAGTGAATCAAGTGGCCGTTTAGCAAATCTGGCTCTCCCCCACTCCGATGGGCTATGGTTGCTGGGAGCTGCTGGGGAAAGTTGCAAGTGACGATCACAGGACCCTGGGACACGATAGCCACGAAAAATACATGACTGCGGCCAATGCACTCAATTTTGATTCACTGATTGATCAGGTGACTGTGGGGAAATGCTAGGAGGGTCATAAGTGTGAGGACCCGTCTTAAGTCAATTTTTTCAGGGCCGTAACTTCGGTTTGCTGCTAAACCGATGGTTGTCAGCAGGGGTGGGATTTAAAACTTTCAGCAACCGGTTCACTGCCCGGTTGCTGGGTGGACGTGGCCATGGTGGGCATGGCCTACCGGAACTACCTGTCTCCGGCTTCAGGTAGACCTCCAGAGCCCGGGGAGGCCATTTTCCACCATCCAAGGGTCCGGAGGCTTTCCCCGGGGCCCCTGGGAGGGTGAAAACAGCCTCCCCTGGGCTCTGGAGGCCCTCCAGAAGCCGGAAACAGGCCCGTTTCTGGACTTCCGGAAGGCCCGTTTTTCCCCCTCCCAGAGCGTCCGTGCAGACCCTTCCTTTTACCTACGTCCAAAATGGGCTGCATTAAAACTCCTGGGAGGGGGGGGCGGGCTGGGCAGGGCCAGCCAGTTGATTGAAATACCAGTTCAGCAAACCAGATGTAACTTTAACATCCAGTTTGCCCGAACCAGTCCAAACCAGTAGAATCCCATTCCGTGACCATTCGAAGTTACGACAGCCCTGCAAAAAAGTGACCTAAGACCAATTTTCACACTTATGACCGTTGTAGCATCCCACACACACACACACACACCCAGGGTCACACGATTCATATTCAGATGCTGGACAACCGACTCAAATTTATGACGGTTTCAAGTATCCCGGAGTCACGTGATTTCCCCCTTTTGCGATGAGCGAAGTCAACGGGGAAGCCAGATTCATTTAACGACCGGGGTTACTAATTTAAGAATTGCAGTGATTCACTGCGACAAGAAAGGTCGTCAAATGGGGCAGAACTCATTTAGCAAATGTCTCCCTTAGCAACAGAAATTTCGGGCTCAATTGTGGTCGTAAGTCGAGGACTACCTACAATGCGAATCTCCGTATCTAAGCATTCTCCTCAAACCATGTTAACCGCCCAAACTTTTGTCCACTAAATCTCATTAGGACGCTCCCTCTATCGTTGTCTCCAGAATTTCCTCTCCTTTGTATTTCGCTAACAATTTAAAGTTTATTTTAAAAATGTAAAATAGAAATACGTAAGATAATAGAAATACGGTGAGGGAGCAGCCGAGGTAAAGAGAGAGAAACACCTCCCAATGTCAAAGTTTTTGTCCAATTCCAAATAATTCTAGGACGTTTATAGGACAAAAACAAAATGGGTGGAGTCTGGGCTGAGCGTTTACTGGCCAGATGCCCTTCCTGTCACCAATGCGAAGTTATATTCAGCAGACATATTCAGTGAAGAATTGAATAGTGAAGAATTTGACGCACACAAGGCTAAGATTGGAAAACCGAAAGTAACTCACTGTTGTTTCAGGTAGACGGTGTAGTGCTTCTTTTCTATGGTAAGGGTGTAGGCCTGAACACTCTGCTCATTGAAAACAAAACGAAGCAAAGGGCAATTTGTTAGAACCAGTTAAATAAACCACTCCGTTGTTCTGTGTTTGTGCAAGATACCACGATCACAGGTCACAAAAGTAATTTTGCAGAATAAATTCTTAATAAGGAATAGATCCGGAATAGATCCAGCATCAAATCCTAAAACAAGGATTTGATGCTGGAAATGAAGGCAGAAAAAAGTTAAGGGGAAGATTTAAAACTGAGTTTTCCAACCTTGGCGACTTTAAGGTGGGTTGGACCACAACTCCCAGAATTCCCCAGCCAGCATTAAACAAATCACAATCGAATGCGAATTTTAAACACAGTCCATCAAACCAAAATGGGAGAAGAATCTCCAAGAACGATACGTCGTTTTAAAGAAATCAGGGAGGGAAAAGAAAACGTGAATTCCACTGAAAGACTTTAAAGGAGAGGTGTCCAACCTCAGCAACTTTAATACTTCTGGACTTCAAGTCCCAAAATTTCCCATGCTGGCTGGAGAACTCTGGGAGTTGAAGTTCACAAACATTAAAGGTTATATTTATATTATATAATTTATATTATTATATATTATATAATATATTATTTATATTAAAAGAGGCTCTAGAAAGAGTGCAGAGAAAAGGAACAAAGATGATTAGGGGATTGAAGGCTAAAACATATAAAGAACGGTTGCTGGAATTGGGTATATCTAGTTTCATGAAAAGAAGGAGAAGGGGAGACATGATAGCAGTTTTCCAATATCTCAGGGATGCCCCAAAGAAGAGGGAGCCAAGCTATTCTCCAAAGCACGTGAGGGCAGGACAAGAAGCAACGGATGGAAACGGAGAGAAGCAACTTAGTACTAAGGAGGAATTTCCTGACAGTGAAAACAATTAATCAGTGGAACAACTTGCCTCCAGAAGTTGTGAATGTTCCAACACTGGAAGTTTTTACAAAGATGTTGGATAATCGTTTGTCTGAAATGGTGTAGGATTTCCTGCCTAGGCAGGGGGTTGGACTAGAAGACCTCCAAGGTCCCTTCCAACTCATTCTATTGTATTCTATTAAAGCTGACAAAGTTGGACATCCCTGCTTTAACCAAGAAGAATTCAAAATTGAAAAATACGCAATAAACATTATTTTTTAAAAAATCAATTGAATATTTAAAAGTATCCCTAAACACGTCAGTGGTTTTAACACCTAATGAACTTGTTTATAAACATTGAGGTGTACTGCTGATGAGATGCTTTTCACATCTTAGGTGAGTAAGTAAAAAAAAAATCACTTTGGTTTCCATGCAATTTACTGATCCTCTCATCAAAGATCTACGGACAGAGTAAACTAAATTGGCAAAAATATACATTTGCAAGAGCGCCAGCGGTATTCTTCCATTTAAAGAGCGCAGATACCATAGTTAACACAGTACAAGTTAACTCCACAGGTGGTTTCTTGCAACAACAAATCAAATTATTTTTTTTTGCCAAGTGGTGCTTTTGTCTTAGCAAGTCACAGGCTGAAAGAGCAAACGGCTCAGCTTTCAGCGCTACCCATCTGGATCCAAATAGGGTACTAATATTTTTTTTTTTTTATGAGCCGAAGCAAAAATACCAATTCCTCCTTATAAAATAGAAACACCACAATGCAGAGTTTCCATTTTGATAAATCCGTTCGGGAGTGGCAGGCGCGTCCACACGGTGTGGTTTGTGTGCAGTTGCATATTTGAAGGGAACAGAGTTTGTTTTCTTTGTCTCGGCCGCCATTTTGACTTTTTTTGACTCTACCTGGGACAGTCCTACAAAACAAAACAGGCCTTTGGAATTAAGAAGAAATTGCTCTTCTCCCATTGAAAACTTCATAAAATATCCTCAACCCGATGGATTCCGCAAAACAGATTTGAAACTGGAAAATTCAGGTGTGCAAAGAGCTTTGGATTCAATCCAGTTTCACTTTACGCCATGAATAATGTTTTTTTCATTCAAAACTTAAGGAGAAACGTTTAATGAAGAACATAATAAAAGCTGTTTTTTCTTCCCATCATCAGCAAATTTCACAGCAAACCACACCGATACCAAAATATCTTAAAATCTGGAAGAGTGGATGTAAATGCCACTCCTCCAGATTAGTGCAATTGTGACGGACACAAGCACTGTACATAACAGAATAACAGATTTACAGAGTTGGAAGGGACTTTATAGGTCATCTAGTCCAACCCCCACCCAAGCAAGAGACCCTACACCATTTCTTTTTTAAAAAAAAAATTTTTTTAAGAACAAACATACACATACAAAACATAAAAACATAAAACCACCTTCCATTTTATATACGTACAGTGGGTCAGTTGGTTACAATTTACTCACAATTTATATCAGTCTTCACATTGTCGAACTAACATATGCTTATATATCATCAGTTATTAATTATCCATGACTAAACTATTTATTCCATCATTTTATACGAGATGTTCCAAGTTTTATCTTAAAATTTGTGTTATACTTTCAACCAGTGATAGATAGATAGATAGATAGATAGATAGATAGATAGATAGATAGAT